TAATTCTTTAGAGCTGGGCTATAGTAATGTCAATTTCCCCAGAAAGCCCAATGATGGTGCACTGGATCACAGGAGCAGCTGGCGGAAGAAAATTTCCATCTAGAGGCTCTTTTCAAGCCAGTTGGCGTCTTCTGTTACCTTCTGGTTCTGTCCATCATAAAAAGGCATTATTGATTTGGTTGATGGTGACTGCCTGGTGAGACAAGCTGTATAATACTACCACATCTATTTTTCATTCTAGCATTAACAATTACTACAGTTTGATTCAAATCTTTTGACATATTTTTCAGAGATACGATCGTATCTGTATATGGATGAATGTAATATTAATCTGATACACCTTGGGTTATATTATTTCTTTTCATGAAGTAATTATTTTTTGGGTTGCAACAAGCAATCTTGCTTGATGTCCGGAAACATGAAGCACCATGTTCAGTATTGGGTTTTTTTTTTTTTTTGGGCTGTGGGGGGGGGGGGGGGGTGGTTTCAAACAAATACATGTTCTAACTTCAACCTATACAAATATATGTTTTTGGTTACCACCATGCAATACCATTGACTACAAGATTTACAAACCTCACCTACCAACGATTTTCTCATGGCTGAGATCCTTTTGTTGAATGTTTGCTTATCCTAATTCTTCGTGACGATGGAATTTGAACAATTTTCTTTAAGCAAAAATCTTATATATACTGGCTGACAATATATGTATTATTACGATTGAATACATGACACATATGTAAAATAAAGTAAGGAAGTCGAGGTAGGAATTTGAAGTCTGCATTCATCTGCAACCAAGCAAAATTGGGAAGGTGACCATACCATAAGACATTGATGTTCGTGGACGGTGTTTGGAAATTGCCACTATATCGGCCCCATCTACGAAATTATTGGTGAATTATTGGGGGTATATCAATAAGTACGTGTGATGGATATGGAATTCCAAGAACAATAGGAATTTTGTTTGGTAAGGGTCAAGACGATTGCTGGACCCCTTTCGGCCTCCACCACCACGACCAACCCTGTTATATCATTTAGTACTATAGATACAAATCTGTATGAAACCCATTAAGATTTTCGCTGAGGAGTTCACTGAATTTGCAAAAAGAGAATGAAAATAGGTGGGTTTCATTAATTTACAGATCCACCACTTATAAAAAATGAGTGGTGTATTTACGTTTTTGTGCTAGTACTTCTTTTGTCATTCGCTATATAAATTCACTGATTCATCATCTTGAAATCCGACAGAGCCAATTTTATTCTCGGAAATCAAACCGAGTTCAAAACTTTGATTCAGTTCCAGCTGATTTAATAACTGTGAAGTACTGGATACTAATTAAGCATGATAGTATAGCATGTACATTCGTAGTCGTAGTACTAGTACAAATATCAAGGACATGAACGATTTGGATCCGGCACGTTCACTGAACCAGTGCCTTTTGGACGTATTGAGTTTTAATACCACAAACCTCATAATCATGCCAACATTGACGACAAAATAAACGCTAAGATGACGACAAATGCCTAATCATGGAACTGGTGAATTAAATTTTCGAGTTGGAGGGGAAATACAGTGCGTCTACTCTTACTCCTATTCCTACTATAACCTATATTATAGGGTGATCATCAGGATCACGGAGATTGAACCACCATCGGATCATACGAGTGCAGAGCACCCATATGAATCTTAAACGAAATCACATTAAGTGGCAACTTTTAATGGAAGGCAAAATTAAAGGAAGCCGGTTGGCAACATAACATGTTAGCTGATGGTAAATGAATAGTTTGCAATCATTTGGTGTATGGTTTATTTAGTTTCAATCTTACATGAAGAATCTTTTACGTGCGTGCAACAGATCGACCTCGTGAGTTGAGTTCCTAGGACAGAACTTAAGTGTTTAACTTTAATGGTGTCAATTTTAGTTAAGTTAATTGGGAACTAAATTTGGCAAATACCCTTTTAGGTCTTTGAATGCTCGAAGTACAAAGCCTATATATAATATACGTGCAACGAAGCTTCATTTGCTTCCTCCATCTTTTTGTCTTCTTGTAGTTATTAGACATTTCATTGATTGTAATCATTCAACCACACGAGCAGATTAACAAGATATGCAAAGATGGCTATAAAGTAGACTCATCATTAATGGGATCAGTTAATGGAATTTAAGGAAACAAAAATTTATGATAAGTACATGCCGTTTACATATATATATATATATATATATATATATACATACATGCATACATATATGAGTGCATGCGATTTACGTATATTTGTATATGTATGTATGTATATATGTATATATGAGTGTAGTTTATTTAGCCACCTTTTAGTATTTTGCCCAATCAATTTCTTACACCATGTTACCGTTTGGAAAAAAAAAAAAAATTTCTTACACGATATTAACTATTCTTATACCCCGGTCAGCAAATGCTTAAAAGTGCTTATAAAGTAAGTAAGCAATAGTCGATTTTGACTTGAAAATGCATAGTCACTTGTTTTACTAAATATTTAACACTTGGGAATTACTTGCGAGTGGAAAGAATCATAGTATATTAGAATAGAGTGTAGAAGGAGAAAAAAGGGTAAAGAAGAAGTCTTTTGTTTTACTTTCTTTTTGTTTTTAAAAGTTTCATCTATGTGGAGTCATGATGATGTAATACGTACTTTAGCCTGTTTAGACCTTTTGATCGGGCTGAGTTTAACCCTTTTTTAGCTCAGAAGCGAAGCCTGCAATTTGGCTCACAAGACACTTTGCCATTTCACGTTTTGGGTAAACGAACATAAATTTTGATAAAATAAAATGAAATGAAATGAAAACACTAATAAGAAAGTCAACGACATAAATGAAAGAGACAACGCTAAACTATGCAGAAGTAAATTGAAGAACTTGTGTTGCTGACACTGACCAACAAAGAATCCTTAATTAGTAGTAGTTAGTTGCATGATCTTCTTCTTCGTGCATATATAGCGATTCTCGTGGTCATTGGATAGGAGAAAATACCATATGATTTCTAAACTATGGTAATCCTTCTGTTCCATTTTGATAATTTTATTTTTCTTTTCATTCGTCCCAATTTATAATTTTCAATTGAAAAGTGTAGTTAACTTTTAATTTCTCTAAATTATCGTTATTTAATATACTCTATTATCAGTAAGTATAACCTATCTTATTTAATAATTGCTTTCATTCATACGTTGAATGATACAACTTTTCATAGTATTGCTTTTGTAATTAATGTAAATAGATCATGATTAGTCATACACCTCATATTATCTCTAAAGAGATTTTAGAGAAACAGGTGACTAGATTTATTTTTCAACAAAATTAACTAATTTTTCTTAAATTACGTGAAAAAGGACTATCAAAGTGGATGGATGGACGAAGAGATTAATATTTTACCAATAGTTACTACTAGTGTACGTCGCATGCATCTAGGCACGATCCCCCTTGGAATGCTTCACGGCAAAAAAAATGTTAATTAAGTATAAGAAACACTCAATCTATTAATACTCGTTTACCCCGAGATCAAGACAGCTGGACTCTTTGGAATTTAGCAATCAAGATTTTGGAAACTTATTTCTCACCCGAGGTTTGCTTGTCTTCTGTCACAGACCTATAAAAAGCTTGAATGAATTGTACTATTGCATTTTAATAATAATATTGCCATATTTTGCAATTAGAATTCATGATCCCTACAAGAAAGGAGAAGCTTTAAAGCTTAAAGAAAGTCAAGAAGTTCTACTATTTGATGGTGGATTATATAGTGTTGTCAGAAAAATGAAAAAGGAAATGACTATTATAGATATGAAGAAGTAGGTGCCATCTAAAGTCTAAACTTGAAATCTAGACGCATGAGGTGTCCAATACATTATAATCAGCCTAGCCCTGAGATGAGTTTAGAGAAAAGAGGATGGATGATACTTTCATAGAGATGAGAGAATAGATGATAGTTTCGTTAGGCGGTGGACATTTCATTAATTATGGATGAATTTGAGGTCCGTACCTAATCTCCTAATACGGGTCTAAACTATTATTTAATTAGCTTCGCTTCGTCTCTATAGCTACTGTCTTGCCTGTATTCTCGATCGCTCCTTATGCTACATGTTGCGGGACCCGCATACATACATATACATGTATGTATGTGTGTATATACAATGGAGCTCCGTTAAAATATATTTCAGGTGTTATATTTTTAAAAATATAAGATTAATTAGGAAAAATAAATAAATATAAGAATGTGGATAGACAAGATTAAATAGGAAAAGCATATAAATGTAAAAGAGAATAATAATTGTTAATATATATATTATAAATTAGGTAAATATTAGGTATATTAAAGAGTGCTCTAAGAGCACCAGAAAGAAAAATCCATATATATATATATAAGAAGCAACAGTTATTTTTGCATTAATTGGGTGCAACCCAAGCACCAAATAAGAGCAAATGAGCAATTACTTCAAGTGTTCAAGTTTCAAATTAGTATAGTTAATTAAGAAAGCATATAATTGGAGTGCAGATAATAAATATCGAATATCGATGTGTGTGTATTTAGATTGTAAGTTGAGTATAATTTAGATATGTTAACGAGTATCTATTTATTGGACACGCATCAAAAATTTCTAAGATAATATGCTCATGTTTCAATTTTCCTATGCTATTCTAAAAAATATAGCATATTTTCTAAATGAAATGTGGAAAACAATGAAAAAATGCCTAATTAACATTCAAAAGAAAAAGAAATGCTTAACATTCCATAAGGCATGCACAAGGCACCAAGCTACCAAGCCCAGCTTTAATTATACCAGCCAGTAGTACGTCCAACTGTACAAGATACTCCTGCACTCGGATTAATTAAGTCAAAACCTAGTCACAAGGAAGGGTATATTAATAGTAGTTAAACAAAGAGTTGAAAATAATCCCGGGGTCTTTGTGTCATTTTGATCGAAGCATGACAGTACATTAGTAGTATAATGCATTTGTTTCAAAATGGTACGGACTAGCTTGTTCCTGTATATATAACCAAGTCTTCCCCATTTCAAATCCCATTGAAAACACCATAGATTCATCATAGGCAGAAGAAGAAAGAAGGGAAAGAAAGGGAGGTTGGATTGAAGAACATGGGAAACAGTCTAAGGTGCTGTTTGGCATGCGTTCTTCCGTGTGGCGCCTTAGACCTGATCCGTATAGTACACTCGAATGGGTACGTAGAAGAATTAACAGGCCCTCTGACGGCCGGAGAAGTCTTAAAGAACCACCCGAATCATGTCTTGAGTAAACCTTGCTCTCAAGGCATGGTTCGCCGGATTCTAATCCTCTCACCGGAGTCAGAGCTCAAAAGAGGCAGCATATATTTCTTGATACGCTCGTCCTCGCTGCCAGAGAAAAACAAAATCCGCAGTTTGCCTAAGAAGCCTTCCAAGAAGAGCAAGAGCGCCGCCACTATGACTGCGGCGGATTGCCATCAACATTTAACGGAAGTCTCGTCCGATAAAAAGTCCTCCTGCCGAGATCGCCGGAGAGGTAGAGTTGGAGTCTGGAGGCCCCATCTCGAGAGCATTTCTGAGGACTAAAGTCCTTTTTTTTTTTCTCCCTCCAATTGGGTTCAACCCATATCTTTTTCCTCCCTTTAGACGGAGTGATTGATTTTGTGCATAATTTTCTTTTTCTTTTTCTTTTTCTTTATGGAAAGAAGAAAGGAGTAGTCTACTTCCGTCTGCATGTAATATAGCAGAACCGGAAACTTTTATGGCATAGTCGTCTGTTTGCCACAAGGGATCCTACTACAAGATTTGGTCGACCTTACAAAGAAATTTCTTTTTGTTTTACAGTCAGCTGATCAAGTTGTAATTGATGACCGACCTTCTTGTAAAGTTCTTGACCGGCATGGTTTTGCGATCTATGTCCTCGAAACAATAATCAATGAATAGTTAATGAAATCTCGACCGTATAGATTGATCTCGTAATCTCCTTTTATTATTTTCTTCGAGTCAGTTTGAGCGGTACTCCTTTCATCGGTTAAGCAACAGTTAATTTCATTGTTTAGTCTTGAACACGGTAAATATATATGGTTGCTACATCCATTCATAACGAAGAAAGTGTTGTTTCTCTCTTACCACAAAAATCGCACAAATAGTTTAGTAGTTATGGGTATCAATATTAGTTGTCATCTCTATTTGCAAAAAACATTTATGTTAATGATTGGGTTGGTTGTTAGTTTTAACTTTTAGGTGTAGGCTCGAGTTTTGACTTGGAATTCTGCTAATTAACAATTTTTATTCCAGAAATTAGTTACTACTAATAATTTTCTACAAGACGCATATGTATTATATAGGGCAATCGTGGAAGCAGAATTCACCAATCTAACAAGCAAGAAAATGCGATGCGATGGCAGTCACACTGTGATAACCAGCTGTGCTAACCTGTGCTGCTCCTCCATTGTTTATGATTACCCAAAAAGAACAAGAAAAATATATAATGCTCCTGCCTCCTGGCTGCAATTAGTAGTATATTCTATTATAATTCTCATGCAACAAGCCAGCCAGCTAGCTAACGTTTTAGTTCTCTAAACCAGCGTCATGACTGCTGCATAAATGATGAGCATACCTACGTTCTTTCCCCTTCAAATGCATGTGGCTTCTAAGTGATCATTTTCAGGAATCTGAGCTGTTGGATTTAGTAATTTAGGCCAGAACTTGCTCAATCTAGTGAATAGTTTCGTGGTTTTATTTGTCCAATCATATGGATGCACTGGATCAAATGGTTACTGTCCTCGATTAGAACCTCTTTATTTATTTATTTTTTTTTACAGTGGTAAATACTGAAGCAACTTAACAGCACTACAGATGGTTCTTGCATTCAAAACATGAGAGTTGAAGAGTTGTTTAATTATGAAATCATTTGACTTTTATTCGCCCAAGAAAGTTAGTCATGAACTTATTTTGCAACATACTCATCCACGAAAAAAACAAAAAAGCTGATGAACTCTAGTAAATGAATTGGTGCATTATTTATTAACCTGCAGGATCAGTAAATAGTAAAAGTTTTTCCACAACCATTTATTTGCTTATATAAAAAGTTCGCAAAACAACCCTGGCATCACACTATCACTCTCTAGATCTCTTCTGTTCGTAAAAATAAAAAATAAAAATTTGTCCTAAATGTCATATATTTCTTGTATAATCTTGTATATTACGCTGCTGTAATTGCCTGTTCACTTGCAACCATATGTATAGTACGGATAAGTAAAGGTTTGATAAGCCATAATAAAACAAAGGAAGCTAATGGCCGGGGCCGGGGCAGGGCGACAAGAGCTCAAACTAATTAGTTTAATAGTAGCATTGAGAGGCTGGTTTTATGGCTTGGATCCAGAGTACTCAAAGACCGACCTATGCACGCAACACACAAAAACAAATGATGGGGCAAGCTGGCATTTCCCCTTTAACATATTTCCTATCCTACAGAGCTCACATGGATTCCATCTTGTCCCTCTCGCAAAACGCCGTTTTCTCAACTAGCAAAATTAGTACTTTACTGTATGAAAATAGGAATAAAAGGGACTAAACGAGATATTTTAAACTTTACGGGACCAATCATTTAGAACAAATTAATAAAAAGGGATTTTGCAAATGATAGTTGTTGAAGAAAATTAAAGCAAGCTATTTTAGTATTTAGTTTCCTAATTCTTTTTTGTGTCTTATTTGTTTAGTTTCTATATTAGATTAGGAAATCTCAAGTCAGTTTTTAAGTAAGTTTTGATTTACAATTATATTTGTTTTATGAAGTTTTAGAGTCTATAAATACTATCAGTCTAGTAGATTATTATTCGAAAAGTTGAGTTGGATTTTGAAAAATAGATTTGAGAGAAAATCTTATAGTTAAGATTTGTGAGTTGTCATGAGCGAAAGGTTACGACTTAATATTTGTTATTGTTGGGTTTTGAGTTAAATAAATTATTGAATATTTCTTGTGTGTTTGTTTTCCTCCTTTTCCCACATATTTTTATATGTGTTAAAACTGCTTTTACTATGTGTGCGCATTTTTTTTTGTGCCAACAAGTGGTATCGAAACTCTAAGTTTTGATCTTCGGGCTTGTTCGCAAAATTGGGGTTTGGGTGTTGTTCGTAAAATTAAAGTATGGATTTTTATTATTTACTACGTTGGGGTGTTTTTATCTTTGATGGTAAAAATGATTTTAAAATTTGGATTTGGATGATGAAAAGATTTTTTTGAATTATTGAAATTTGGGATATTGTTGAGAAGGGGTTCACGGAATGCACACGATTAAAGAGTTAGAGAAAATAGACAATTGGATTGCAAGGTATTCCACTATCTCAGTGCCTAAGTTTAGTAGCATGTAGCAAATAAATTCATACATGCAAAGACGTAAAAAAAGGCTTGAAAATTTTTGATAAATTCTTATTGTAGTCAAGGTGGAGAAGAAATTTGTGACGAGGAAGAAGAAAAAGAAGTTTTTGATGAGCCAAAGAAAGAAGAAATTTGCAGAAATTGTGGATGCACTTGAAGATGAAAATTTTGTGACTCAAGAAAAAATTTCACAAGTGATTGAGAAAGAAAGTGAAACCATTGGTCAAAGTTAAGAGGTGATTAAAAATCGAAACAATGTAAAAATTGTTACTTTTGTCGAAATTGATGAATTTTTTTAAAAGAAAAAACAAGTAATAGAATTGATTGATATCAATTATGAAGTAGATGAATTAGTTGAAGGTTGTGATATTGTTAAAGTTAATCCAACTATTAGTGTTAAAAAATCAAAGAAAAAATATGGTGATGTTGAAAACCTCGGTGATAAAAATTATGATTTTCTGATTTTTGAAAGTTTTCTTAGTAATGTGGATAAATTAAATTATGTAGTATGCGAAGAAGAATGGGCAAATATATTCGAATATTTTGATAAGAGTGGTCAAGCAAAAAAATTATTCGAGAAGTACAAATATCGTCCACTACCACGCGTGAAGATGAAATTAAAAATTCATTACAAGTTGGTGTTTTACGTTGTTTATATAGTGACTAAATTATTCATGAAAATTCAAACTCGAGATGGCACTGGAGGTGACTACAATGAAGAGTTTGATTTAAGGGAGGCAATGAAGGAAATTAAACAAAACTATTTTAGTATTTAGTTTCCTAATTCATTTTGGTATCTTGTTTGTTTAGTTTCCATATTATATTAGGAAATCTCAAGTCAATTTTCAAGTAAGTTTTGATTTACAATTGTATTTATTTTAAAAAGTTTTAGAGTCTATAAATATTACCAATCAAGTAGATTACTATTTAAAGAATTGAGTTGAATCTTGAAAAATAGGTTTTGAGAGAAAATTTCTTAGTTGAGATTTGTGAGTCATTGTGAACAAAAGGCTATCACTTGATATTTGTTATTGTTGAGTTTTAAGTTAAATAAATTATTGAGTATTTATTGCGTGTTTGTTCTACTCCTCTTCCTACATATTTTTATATGTGTTAAAACTACTTCCGTTGTGTGTGCACTTTTTTTTTTTTTGTACCAACAGTTGTCCGACAAAAACTACTAGTGCAAGCATTCAATTAACTATTCGTGATGAAAGAACACGAAGATATTTTTGTAAGGTCGAAGAATTAGCATCAACAATCAACTTGTAATCAGATGGTAAAGCTACCAACTCTACAGCCGAAGAAATTGAAACTACGGACCCTGCCAAAATTATGTCAAAATGATCATTCAACATTGGAAAAAGGCTTTACGTTTTAAGTGGGATTTATGACATTATGTTTTAAGTTGATGCATCACTTCTTTTTTCAATAGTAGAAAAAAACTTCACTAGCTACATTACATGGAGAAAATATAATGGATTCCTTGTCGAATAAATAGAATTGATGTATTAGTGATATGGCTTTGGCCTTCAAGAAAGTATAGGACTCGGAGTCGTTTGGAGGGAAATAGATATAGAAAGCAAATTCTAATTAGGCTTTACTCTGAAGAGAATAATAAGATACATATTTATATATGCCTATATATACACACACATAATTATTACTAATTAGTAACCGAACTTGGATCAAATAATCTTTATTAGTTGTCTTCTTGGATAATTGGTTTAAGAACGCAGTATCATCCTGAGTATTGTCATTCAGATTTGTATTTGTAGGATCTTTGGCTGATGCTAGGTTTTGAAGAACAAAACTATCAAGTTCTTGTCATTTGTTGGAGAATTGTAAGAATATTATATTCAGACACTCCATCATATATATATATATATATATACATATATATTATTAGGATTTAAGAGAGACTTTAAATTTTACATGGAGGGGAAGGAAAGAAAGGGAAGATCTCGGAGATGAATTTCTAAATCTTACATACGGAAGGGAAGGGAAAAAGAAGGGAGCTCGGAGTCGAATCACTCGTAGTTACCTGAGCCCATCAATTGAGTTGGTTTTGCTTTTATATACACTAGTACTTGGAGACACTCAATGTGTGTGCAATTATTAAAAAATATTGAAATTATTTTTTGTGAGAAAGTAATAGTTTAAAAGAGGTGAACTATTGTAGTATTCTAGTGAAGTTTCAGTTTTTTTATTAGAGAAGTGCTAATTAATTCAATTGGATGTAAAAGTGATTGTAACTTGTAAGGGGTGAATAGTTGAAATGATATAATTATCTTTAGGAATAAGAGTAGATTAGGTGATACATTATATGATATAACTTATTTACAC